CTTTTATTATAATAATGGGTAATTTTATTTAGTTGAGTGTTTGATGACAAATTTTAATGCTTCTTCAATGAATAATAATGAAAAATTATCGATAAAGATCCGCACATCACAGTCACATCACACATCATTATGACACCATTTCCAAATAAACACTTAACACTACAGTTATCGCGTAGATTACAATAGTAAACCACTGTAAACTAATCTCAAATTTGGATGTATATCTGGAACCAAATGATAAGAAAAAAATATGTAAACTAATTTGTGATCTAACTTTGAAATTAATGTGATATTTTCTTATATTTATATGTAAAAGTTTTTTTTAAATATTATAATTTGAATAATAAAGGACGTATGTTTTTTTTATTAAATATGATTAACCGTTACCCTGTTTCATATTTATAATAAAATAAATATACGTTTTAATTGATATTTTAAAGCTTTCTTCTTATTTTTAATTGGACTATAATCCACGCGACCATTCGCGTTATTTTATAAGATGCTTGTGCTGCAGGGTTAAGTAGTCTTGTTACACTTTTATTGTTTATATGTTGCTAATATAAACTACTCTCGTAATGAGTGCTGTTGTGCTTGCATGTTGAATTTTAAACTTAATTTATAGCACTTAAGGGTTGACTTTAAAAAAATAACGAATCTCGTGGGGTGTGTGCACGGGTGTATCTAGTTAGTTTGTGGGTGTGTGCTTGTTACATTTCGATTATCCCCACGATGTTTAGGAAATATTATGTACTCGATTATCGTATCGGTAAAGTTCTCGATTATTATTTAAGATATTATTTTAAATGATTATAATAGAAAGAAGGCATATATCACAATATAAAAACTTACATATGGAATGTAACTCCATCTTTTTGTAAATTTGAAGTATTAGACTTTTTTTTTGAACACGCTAACCGCACAAATCGGCATTTTTTAAAGAGTCTACAACGAAGAAAACGATTCTTGTAATGACGATACCGATTCCGTAAACAGTTTTTATAAACGCACAAGACAGATGTTCATAAGCGGTGGTTGTCGCTTACCATCAGGTGAGCCGCATGCTCGTTTTCCGCTCTTATATATTTACATTTTACTTAAGTTTTTGTCAAATATATATAAAAAAATAAGCATATTTATGTAACCGTTCAAAAAATTATTAGTTATTAAATCATAATTTCTGTCAGTTCAGTCAAACAATTCACCAAACGCCTGTTATTTTCAGTATTATTTACAAACAGGTAACTCTTTTTTATTTAATAATTAAAATGAAATCAAATAGTAAGTTAGCATTTTGTAACTTTATCTAATAAAGAATGTAACTTGTTGGTAACTCGTAACTTAAAACCGTAGACAGAGAACTGTCTACGCTTAAAACCAAGACATACTGGCGACACTGCAATTGACAGTAAAAAAAATTGTCACTGTTGTCAATTGTCATTTTTGTACATTGAAAAAAATGATTTTTTTGAATTTTTGTTATTTAGAATTGGATGTAAATGAAGTTTTGTGAATAAGTTAAACAAAAGTGATATTTTTAAAGCTTTATTTGAATATTAATCATTAAAAGTTGTATTCTAAAGTATCTAAAAATGTAAGTCATATTCAATAACATGGTGTTTGGTTGGCATTGGAATTCCTCACTTCACCACTAAACCGGTGACGTTGGTCATGCTATGTTTAACTGGATTGTTCACTGCCCGTTTCTTAAGATCCGATGCTGAAGTTGGTTGTAGAATAGTAGGTTATCTTTAAAAGTTTCTATCAAAGTGGTTATGATTTCTGACGTAGTTTTCTTCATTTAAATTTCAACTTTTAAATTTGGTTATCATTCAATAAATGTGAAACAGTAACAATAAAATTTAACGTCACAGTGTAACTTACTCGCGTAGTTATCCGTATAATTGAGTAGTTGCTGTAACAATTAAGCATTTGGGAAATACTTTTAACGCTAAAAATTCTTTTATTGTTTTTTCTTACACGAAATAAATTATATTCCAGTCTAAAAATGCTGAAGTTACGGACTGTTAGTTTGATGTTTGTGACCTTTGTGGTGTCTTGGGCCATTTCTATGGCGGATGGTCAGGCACCTTTACCTCCATCATCATCACCATTACCAACCCCTGAGGTAAGTTGTATATTTTTATTAAATATCTTTTTTAGACTAATTGATGTATAATAAACATATTATGCATGTAATGTTGTTCTTATTGTACTAAAAAATGAGTATAATTTATTTATAATAACTGGAAAATTTGTAATAGTTTTATACCATGTTACATCAGACTTATAAAATCTTAAATTTTTTAGCCTGACACCGATCACCTAGTAATGGGCCACCATCATTCAATAGATTATATTATGCTAGTGATTTGCACCCTAACCCTTTATGCCCCTTAGTTACATCCAGAATATTACTCTTGATGCAGACATGCTGCTTGCCTAAACTATTAATAACACAAGCATTTATTGTAATGTTACAGCCATTATATATTCTTGTGTTGGGTAAAGGCTTCCCCTCTTTTCTCATTTCTGAGAGGCATATTGTGCTATTAGCCTGCTTAGCTATTTGAGTCTATGTGAGCGGTAAAGAAAAACAATGAATGCTCTTTTGTACTTTTCAGGCTTATGACTTTCTATAATCCTAAAATATTTTTAAGGCATTTACTTTTCAAAACGAAATAAAATTAATTATTTTTTATTATAATTAATGTAAACATTATTTTAAAGTTAATATCAATTATAAATCAAAAAAAGGTGTATTTAAAAATTTACTATAAATATACAGTGTACACTAACTAAACAATGTCTAACACTAAACTAAGTCGCGAGCTATGAATAGCGTACTACTAGATCAAATTTGCGTCACACGTCCACTCTCAACAGAGCTGCTGTTAGAACTACTTACTGCTAGATATTAACACAATAGCTACAAAGCACCAAAGCGCCATGATGACTACTTACATAGCATGCGCTATGCACTATAGAGAATATGGCGCTATGCACTATAATAACCACCATTACTATCTATGCATACAATAGTGGCTGGTGGGTTATTGCAGCTCAATGAAATAATCTATTACAGTAGATGTTTTACTCGGTTATACAATTCATGAACGAGTAATCAGAAAGAAATGTAGCAAACATGATTGGCAAAAGATGGGGACTGACGCCAAAAATCATACTGTGGCTTTACAAAACTGTAATCCGGCCCATGATCACATACGGCGCTCTGGTATGGTGGACCAAGACCAATGAAGCCACCACAATTAAGAAGCTTCAGCGCTACCAGAGACTGGCATGTATGGCTGCCACAGGCTGCATAAGAACTACGCCAACAGCAGCCTTGGAAGCGATGCTGGAGCTAACTCCGCTTCATCTACATATACAACAAGAAGCGACTTTAGCTGCCATCAGACTCAAGACCCTAAATCTTTGGAGTAAGAATAGTGTCCCTCATACAGGCATAATTGATAGAATTTACTCAGAAATTCCTATCCTACAAGCCAAATACGATAGGATTCCTAAACAATTTGTTTTCGATAAGAAATACAAGATACAATTAAATGAAAACAGCCAGCCGGAAGAATTAAGCCCAAAAGAGCTTAGAATTTTCACCGATGGTTCTAAAACAAAGGAAGGTGTAGGTTCTGGAGCTTTCTCTGAAGACCTCAATATTCACATATGCACACCGCTGGGTACCTATAACACGGTCTTTCAGGCGGAATGTATGGGTATCATTCAAGCGGCCATAGCAATAGATGCTAGGAAGGTTAATGACTTCCCTACTAACTAAACTAAACTAAACTAAACTAAATGTAGCAAAACCTTTATTCGGCTATTTTTGAGATGCATCGGCGACAGCTTTTGAAGTACTATGAGTATTAATTAATAACATAAATAATTAAGTGTGAATATTCTAGGCTTGATATTTTCTTTTGAGTAAAATTGCTACCTAATAGCGGCATCTAGATAGTTCTATAAGTAAAGTCATTTTACCAAATAAAACTTGACTCTCAAGTTGGTACGTAAAATAAACACTAGATGGCATAAACATAACAATTTTATATGAATTGGTAAGTTACGTAAAATATTGTTATTAATGGATTAAAAATGATAATTTTATTCAATATATTTATTTTTATAAATTTGTTATTTTTTAACAGTTAAAAGTTGTTTTTGACCATCTTTAAAGTACTGCACAAAGAGGTCTCCTCTTTGTGCAGTACTTTAAATAAAAAGATAAGATCTCTCTAGATAAAAAGAAACACTGCATATGGTATTCTATCTTATTTACAGACTATATATTTAAATCTTATAGATATATATTATGTTTGTCTCGTTTTCGTTTTTTTTTTTTAGTTAAAAATCACAGATTCTAAATAAGTTATCATTTGAAAAAAAAAATAAGAATTATTGTAATTAAAAGTTTTTAAAAGTGTTGTAAAATCATATTTTATGTACCCAATAACATTAGGATTAGTACTGCCTATTGTCCAGAGATGTTAAAAATGGTTTATTAAAAGTATTTAAATACAAAATGCAAATGCATTGGTACATTAGTATTTAAAATAAAAATACAAAATAGTTTTAAATAAAAGTATTTAAATACAAAATGCAAAATACGTATTTCAAAATAGGTTTTCCAAATAAAATACCTTATTAATTATTTAACTGATTTTAATACTAGTATTTGTTGAAAGAGTTCATCTTTCATGTTACGTCTATGGGGCCTCATAATCATTCCACTGAATGAAAATAGTCGTTCAACAGGTGCAGAACTTGGTAAGCAGGTATTATATTTGAAGAAGAGTTTTTTTACATTTGGAAATTTGTTCAAGGATTCTAAAGTATTGTCTTCATCTTTTAAATATTGTAGTAGTAGGCTGCTGAAGAATCAGAGGCCTCAACAAACATACAATATGATTCTGCTCTCTCCTTCTTTTTGTTAAAGTCAGTTTTTTGGACTTGGGAACTCTTTTCACGTTCTTGTTTTATCTTTCTCACTTCTGAAACAAATACTTCTTTAATGTATTCTCTGTTGGCTTTTGGCACACCCATTTCATTTTGAAAAAGGGATAAGATACAGATGCTATTATGCCATTTTTTGCTTTTGGCTCCTCTAATTTATAAAACCTCTCAAAACGTCTATTAAGACTTTCTTTAACAACTTCTATCAATACATCACAGTATGTAGGGTTATCCATTTGCAAACTGCTTAGAAATCTTTGCATTCTCATAAGTTCTGGTATAAGACATCTGTAATAAGTATTTTTGTCACCTTCTAAACTTCTGATGCCCTCAGCAATAGGCTTTGAACAGCTTATGTATTCATGAAGAAATTTGATTTCAATTTCTTTAAAAATTACCAATTGTAGTTTTTTTAAAGTTTCGTTTAGGGTATCCTTTACTGCTAGTAGATCTTGAATGCAATTATGATATGAATTCCATCGTGTTGGACATGGAGAAGTAGAGGATTTTCCAGTTGATTCTAGATAGATTTCACAGGCTTTCGGAGACCTTGAACATAGATTCCAAACTGCTTGACATTTTGCCCTGGCTGCATCATAAGGTTTTTTGTACGAATTACTTTGGGATCTAGCCTTATCCATATCTTTTGAAGCTATCAAATGTAATGTGTGTGTGGCACACCTTTCATGATTAGGCAGTTGCACCTCTTCAAATTCATCAGATGACTCCGGAAATTGTGTTAGGGTTAACACATTATCATCATCACCATTATCATGCATAACTTCAATGTCTCTTTCACTTAATTCTGTACCTGAATCTTGTCCATATATCTTAAAAGCTTTGACCATATTTGATCCATTATCTGTAATAGTGTTTATTATTTTTGAAAGTTTCACATCAAATTCAGAATGAATCTCTGCAATCAGCTCAGCCACTTTATCATAACTATGTGTTCCCTTAAACCTCCTACAAGCCAAAGTTACGCTTTTTCGATCAAATGTATCACAATCAATCCAATGAGCAGTTACACCAAGATAGCTTCTTTTAGATGATGACCATATATCAGCCGTAGTACATATAAAATCAACTTTTTTCAATTGTTCTTTTGTATTTTCTACATATTCGGTGTACTGTTCTGCAATTTTTGTATTACATGTTTGCCGGCATATAATTTTCGGTGGAACAGTTAACTGTTGTGCACCCTCAATAAGAGCCTTAAAGGATTCATTTTCTACAATTGATATGGGTGACATGGTATCCACTAAAAAATTCACAAGTAACCTGTCGAAATTAACTGGCTTTGGTAAGGTGGCTGGAAGAGTTAATTGTTTCATTATTTTAGAAGTGGACTTCTCACCAGCATCACCAACACATTTTCTCTTCTTGTTATGTTGAATTTTGAGTTTCTCATACTCTGCTAAAAGATCAGCATGTCCTTTTCTCTGCAAAAGTATAATTAATAGCTTATTGTATGAAGCATAGAATGTCTGCGATTATATTATTTAATATTGATTAAAATCCTATTATTTTATTAGCCAATTAGTTATGCAATCGAAATAAATCTTAATTTCTAAAATAAAATATAAATGAATTTTTAGTTTTATTTATTTATTTATTTTTGCTTTATTTGCACACCGAGTACAAAAAGGCGGACTTAATGCAACAAGGCATTCTCTGCCAGTCTACCTCCAGGCTAAGCAGAGAAGATATTGTGGAGGATACTGTGTTTTACGTACTTTTATATGGTTCAAAAAGTTGGTTGTAGCATTCAAACTTCCTTTTATTGTTTTCAAACACGTTTGGCAAGTTGCAGAGATATTTGTGTCGCTTCCAGGATCATTTGTAATGTCTTTGAAGAAGTGTTTTAATATGAATGGAATGTTCTTGTCCCTGGAAAAAGTAAAATGTTTTATATCACTCATGTAAAATAAATAATAGATTTACGCTTTGTAAATGTTTTATTGTCAATAAAAAACGTAAGACCATAAATTAAACAATAACATATAATGGGAACGAACAATGCGATATTATATTCTGCCCAACTAAAACGCTAGTCAATAAACAATAACGGTTAAATCAATTTTATTTTAGGTTAGACTACTAGAAATAACAATACAATATCATGATGGTTAACTACTTGATGCTTAGTTAAAAACAACTTATAAAAGTGATGTATTACTTACATTTTATTTATTTACATCCAGCAAGTGAAGAAAACGGAGCAAAATCATAATGAAAACAAAATAATCTACACAAACAGTTCTCACAAAGACAGTTCGATTTACGCCATTCACTGTAGTGGTTTTCGACTCGAGTTATTTGACTCGAGTAACTCTAGTCAAACCTTAAACGAGTCAACTCGAGTTCAGTTTTAAGCAACTCGAATCAACTCGGTCGTCCGAACGCAAACCGGACGTTAGTTATCACAGAACACTATTACTCCTATCGAAGAAGAACGACAACTTCATACAAAATTTAAGAAATGCTGTATATAACCACTAGCTCCATCTATCGTCAGCCTCCTGCACTTCTCGTGTGGCGGGAAATTTGAACGTGGTCTTTTTTGTTTTTTTTATTTGAGGTATTTTTGGGTTGCCTATCCCAGCGCTAAATAAAAGAACAAAAATTACAAAATTTCTATTTATTTATTCAAAATAAAAATAAAAAACATACATAACTTAAGACAAAATTTCTCCAGCAGCTTAGTTCTTCCTATAAAGACATTTGATGGGTTTAAACATGAAAAGAAAATCAATATTGATTACAACATTTCAATTACTTAAGTAAACAATATATATAAGATTTACAATCATGGATGAATTGATAATATGCACAATCACAAATCACAGAATGTCTACAATAACCCAAATATCAATATTTTAATCAAAAACAAGATAATTAATAAATAAGCTCCTACACACAAGTGCAAAATTCACAAATAATAATTTTGTTTTGATAATATTTGGTTCTCCATCTATTTTTTTATAGGATAGGGTGACCAACGAGCACACAGTCCACCTGATGGTAAGTGGTTGCTGTGGCCCATAGACGAATCAAAATGCAGATGCGTTGTCACCTGTGAGGACTAAGATGGAATGCCTCGTTTTCAGTAAAAAGGGTCTCCGGTTCTCCTACATGAAATAAGTAGCATTAAGCTACATTTCACACTGGTATTCTGTGAGAGCGTGGTCCTTCCCCGGTCGAGCCGACCCATTCGTGCTACAACTATACTTCTAATATAACTGCAGCATGGCTCTACCACGTATAAAATTTCCCTGAATTGACACTAAAAATTTTGTCTCTATATTATATGCAATATATTAAGTATTGAATGAGCTTATAAATAGAATAATTTTAATTCAAAATTATAAAACACTAGCTGTACCCCGCGGTTTCACCCGCGTATAGCACGCGTCTCTGCCGCGCGACATGATATGACACCTTGCTCATTTAGTTCAATCATTTTAGCTAAAAAATTAGCAAATTTAATGGAGTATTAGCTTTCTATTGGTGAAAATTGATTAAAATCCGTCCAGTAGTTTCGGACTTATTTGGTACAAACAAACTAACAAAAACATCTTTTCTATTTATAATATTATTATAAGAACTGCTAAGTTACTAGGCTGTTTGGATAGTTAAATGTACACAATATTTATTTATCAATTAGTACCTACTGAATATAATATAAAAAAATGGGTTTAGAACTGAAAATAACTTTTGTTTGGTTTTAAAAATAACTTTTTAGTTGGGTTTAAATTTAATCAACACCTACTAAATGAATTTAAAGCGAATTCAAAATACTAAATTTATTGGATTCCGCACACAACGTAGGGGGCCGACCGCGCGAGTGGGCCGCGCGGCATTTCATTTTTTTGACATACACACCCCTCCCACACCCCTGTGACTAGAGGTGGGCGAAACTGTTATATTTTTCTAATTCGTTATGTTGTTGTAATATATTTTTGTAACTGTTGTTTTAAACTGTTATAATATAACAGTTTCAAATATTACATTGTACACGCGGTTAGTTCAGTTCAGTTGTTGGCTGTGTTAGCATTTTTTTCTATGTTGTTATAACGATTATAAATATTTAACGATTATAAGTATTATATGAAGACAAAAAAATATTTTTAAGTTGTATTAGCATCATTTGAGTGTTTCATGTTTTAAAAGAGAATCATTTAAAATATGTATGTTAAGTTTAATGAACTTCCCTTCCTACTTTTTACAGGCTTAGGACTGTCTGAATGTATGTTAAGCTGTGTAATTATTGTATCTGTTATAATTATTTACTCATATTTTCAAACATTTTAATAAATATAACTCATTCAGGCGTGGTTAGAAGTTTATGGCTGTTATGTACATTTTGATTGAATTTTTACATTATTTAAACTGTGGTCAAAATTTTAGTTATCTACAATTATTTACATTTTTTTTCAGTTACATTATTTTTATTATTATATTATTATTATTATTCAAAAACATTATTTGGTTTACTTTTGACGACGTAAGCCTTGTGAGTCTATCCGATATTAAATCCGAACGGCAAAACTCTTCATACACTCCTACGTGTCTTTGCTTAAGGTGAAGTTTTAAATTTGTAATTGTACTTTTGAAAGATAAAGTTTTTTTAATTGCACACTGCTTTTTTTTCGTCCACACTTTGGACTTAGACTTAAAATAGTTCCAAATGGCTGCGCTATGCTGACGCGACATTATTATACACTTTTACATACAACACGCTAAATCCTATCTATATTACACTAAATATTTAAAATTACTTTAGGAATAAAACTTAACGAAAAATAAACAAAAACAGCAATAGCTTTTTCACGTAATATGGGGACCTGCTATCAAAACATTACGTATATAATTTAACAGATAACATTGTCATTGTCATCTCAGCTAGACAGCTAACTGAACACTAATATATTACAACAGCCAAAAAATTAAATAACAGGCACAACAGGCAACAGCTAGCAATGAAAGAAATAATATATTTTTGTTTACCGTTATAATTTAGTGTTAGTAAAATAAGCTCTTATTAAGTTAGCTTAGAGTTTAAATTAGTGTAAGCTATCCTATATACGCAATCCTTGTGGCATAATGAATGTAGTATTTTATTGACTCCCATTGTGGTGCCGCGTCCCGGCCGACGGCTGGACCGTAAACGTAAACAGATGACGTTTTCTAACGATAAGGAATATATTATAACAGTCAATGGTTCATTATTCTAATGTGTTGTAAGATTACAAATATATAATGAAATATATTATCTGTTGTATGTTATAACGCCCAACTTTACCTGTGACACCCGCATCGCATGGTGCTGGCAGTGTACGCGAAATAAGGATTTTTCGACGTTACTATTAAATATTTTAACATGGAAAAGTAGTTATTGTGAGATAAATATAATAGTTAGACATATGGTATTGCAGACTTTTATGTAGATATTGATGTCCTCCATAAAACTGTAGCACATGACTTTGCTCTATTGTCAATAGTTTCCGCGATATAAGGTTTTTTTTGATATTTTTTTCACACCTTGGGTTACATTAACGAAGTTTTCATACGGATCCCTAAATTTTTTGAAAACGTTTTATCGCCTATGTTCATCAGGAATAATGTAGGATTCTAATGGTGAAAGAATTTTTCAAATCGGTTCAGTAGTTTCAGAGCCTATTCAATTCAAACAAACAAATCTTACCTCTTTATAATATTAGTGTAGATATTAAATATTAGATTACAAAAATATTCCTTATATAATTTAAAAAAATTTCATATAGAGTACTTTCTTTTTCAGGTTCAACATTATCTGTTATGCTTTGATGTTTGTGGTTGTTCTTCAGTGGATATAATGTTGTCCTTTTTGAAGATCCTGCTTTTGGTTTTGCAGCAATAATTTGCGAGGAGCCAGCTTGTGATTCCACAAAATAAAATGGGAATACACTTTGTTAGTCTGGAAATAAATAAAAACTGCAATAAATTATAGTATCATAAAATTATTATATAAAATTAAATTAACATTATATTCACTGACATTACTTTCACAGTAAACCAGTCACTGCTCGTGGCACTATGTTACCCTTCTACCAATACAAAATAAATGAATGGATCTTGTTCATCCAACTTGCTCTATAATATACCCACTATTAACAATTAATATAACAAAATAAGATAGTAAATACAATAACTATATGAAAAGAAGTCTAGTGTTTATCTATTATTTGAGAACCATTCGATGCATGTATTTCTACTGTGTTGTACAAGTTGTGCCTTTAAATTTGATAGGTTTAGGACGAAATGTAATTATTCATAGATTGTGATGCTTGAAATTTCTTAAGGTTTGTTGTTGTTTTAAAAAAATATTTGATTGTAAAAATAATATGCAGTGTGTTGCACTTTTAATAATGTAAGGAAGGGCTTGTGTTAACTTTATAGAGTTATA